GGGTATCCAGATCCCGCTGTTGGTTATTGCCCAAGAGCCGTCTCGGTCATGTCTACGTGTCTCCCGAACCCGTAGGGTCTACACACTTAAGGTTCGGTGACGCTAGGGTTGTATGAATATGAGTATGCAGCATACCGAATGTTGTTCGGAGTCCCAGATGAGATCCCGGACATCACGAGGAGTTCCGGAATGGTCCGGAGGTAAAGATTTATATATAAGAAGTCTTATTTTGGTCGCCGGAAAAGTTTCGCACTTTATCGGTATTGTACCGGGAGTGCCGAAAGGGGTCCGGGGGTCCACCGGGGGGGTCCACCTGCCCCGGGGGGGCACATGGGCTGTAGGGGGTGCGCCTTGGCCTATATGGGCCAAGGGCACCAGCCCCAAGAGGCCCATGCACCAAGAAGACTTGGAGAGGGGAGAGTCCAAAGAGGGGAAGGCACTTCCGAGGTGCCTTGGGGAGGATGGACTCCTCCCCCCCCCTCTTGGCCGCACCCCTTCCTTGGAGGAAGGGGCAAGGCTGCGCCCTTCCCCCTCTCATGCGCCTATATAAAGGGAGGGGAGGGAGGGGTGGCCGCACCCATAAGCCCTGGCGCCTCCCTCCTCCCTGCAACACCTCCTCCTCCTCCCGTAGTTGCTTAGCGAAGCCCTGCCGGAGTTCTGCTGCATCCACCACCACGCCGTTGTGCTGCTGGATCTTCATCAACCTCTCCTTCCCCCTTGCTGGATCAAGAAGGAGGAGACGTCATCCGCTCCGTACGTGTGTTGAACGCGGAGATGCTGTCCGTTCGGCACTAGGTCATCGGTGATCTGAATCACGGCGAGTACGACTCCATCAACCCCGTTCCAATGAACGCTTCCGCACGCGATCTACAAGTGGTATGTAGATGCAATCACTCTCCCATGACTCGTTGCTAGATGAACTCATAGATGGATCTTGGTGAAACCGTAGGAAAAAATTTAATTTTCTGCAACGTTCCCCAACAGACTCCTCTGCCAGCCGGGTTCTGCAAGATAAAAGTTGATGCGTCTACTTCAAGATCTTCTAATGAAGGTTCATTTATGCTAGCCGGTTGAAGCCTCTTGGCTTTTGTGTTTTTGGCACTGTGGCTCTTTGTGAGCTTGCCGTTTCTTTTGTTTCAGACTTTAAGACCTTGTTAAACCTATTTGCTTTTTTATAAAGGTGGTCGTATGCATCATTCTGATGCAGAGGCCGGGGAGCCCCCCCCCCTTTTTGAAAAAATAGTGTAGTTTGTAGGGATGAGGGGAGGCAAGTACTTGGGGTCCTCGGTGATAAAATGTGCAGGCATTACTGCTCCAGCTTCTCTTGAAGCTATGGCATGCAGAGAAGCCCTTTCTCTAGCCCTAGATCTCTCTCTTTCACATGTGATAATAACATTAGACTGCCAAGAAGTTGTTAATTATCGACTTAAATCGGGGCATTGAAGGGTTATATGCAAAGCATCATCAAAGAGATCAAAGCAACATCAGCACAGTTGTCACAGTGTTCCTTCATCTTTGAAGGACGCGATATGAATATAGAGGCTCATAGCATTGCTAAACACACTTTAAGACTTCCTTTAGGACGCCATGTGTGGCTCCTTAATCCGCCTGATCTAAATTGTATTACCATGTATTTGGATTATGATCAATAACGCGAAGTGTGTTTAGACTAAAACAATCATTTGCATTTTTTCTGGTTTTTCTTTAATCTTGATAATTTTAGTTTAAGATCCCTCTAAAATATGAGGGACGCTACATAAAGGAAGGATATTTTAATCTTTCCTAAGGCTAACGCCCAAAGTTTCAGGCCTCACATATTTCATGGTTAACCATTCGATTCATGCACAGTATGAGAAGAAAAGGAATCCACAATCCGAAGTGGACCAAAAATGACCAATTAAGCTTCTTTTTTTTTTAATAAAGTACCCAAGGGCATTTTATTAAAATGACCAATTAAGCTTTAGGTGCCACTAGAATATTTTGTTGAGCATTTGGAGAAAATACCGCTTTTCCAATTGCGTATGCAACAGAAACAGAAGAATGTTGTTTGATATTTAAAATAAGAAGATCATGAATTGTGGACCAAATCAGGAATCGATGTATTTCCATTTGAAAGCACATCCATGTTGATGCTCTACTTCAAGGAGTCTCAAAGGTTTTATTGATGTCATCTTCACGACCAACATTCACAAGGGCTCAACTTGCACATGCGAGGCGTAGTTTTGGTAATGATGTATCCGACGACATGGCTAGTGAATTGAATCATCAACATAAATACAAAAAAAATCTATGTTGCATGAGACTTTTTGGTACCATGGAATAGTTGCAAATCCATTAGGTGAAAAATCTGGTTAAATCATATATCATCACCATTCTTATGTGTCTCCTCACCCTTTGTTATGTCACATGTCCTTGGTTAATATTCCACTTCTCATCATGGATGGCACTATACATTACTTAGCATTTCTTCTAGGAGGGGGGGCAATAGGTAAATTCATACACTCATGATGGTGAAGATAACATTGTTGTAATGAGTTCAATAGACTGTGGGAGAAGCCATGTTTCTTAGTTGTCCTTGGTTGTGATCACGATTGAGCATTTCGAGAGTAAAAGTCACATTATCGGTGTTCTACGAGGTCAAACGGGTCATTTTGTGAGCTCATGCTACTCAAGATGCCACTATTGGAAAGAGTTCGATGTACTCCCTCCGATCCTTTTTACTTCACATCTAAGATTTTTCTAAAGTCAAACTTCGTAGAGTTTGACCATATTTACATTAGAAAATATTAACACCTACAATATTAAATTTATGCAATATGAAAATTAAATTCATGGTGCATCTAATGATATTGATTTTGTATTGTGATTGTTGATATTTGTTTTCCTATAAAGTTGGACAAACTTTAAGAAGTTTAATTTCAAACAAATCTTATATGCAGAGTAAAAAGGACCAGAGATAGTACTCTAAGATAGCTATGCTTTGACTCTCCTTGGTCAAGATCACAATTTAGCGGGTTCCAGGAGTAAAAGTCACACATTTGGTGTTTGCTATTTTTGCATTTAATAATCATATACCATTTATTACTCTGAAAAGGGCATAAACAATCATTCCTTTGAAATAATTAGGTGAAGAGTAATGTTGCAAATATCGGGACAATTTTGGAACGAATGGATTCCATCATAAATAGTTCATTTCAAAGAGTAGGGGAAAAATGTTATCGCCGACTATAATATCTACCCATATGTTGTTTTTGAAGGAACTAGCAATCATGAACTTTGGTTTATCTTGAGTATAACATGGAAAATCATGCGTGCGTCTTTTTTTAACCCAAATCATGCATATGTCATGCATTCCTGCAACCATTTGCTTGTCAATTGTACATGATATTCTAAGGTTTTTGTAAAAACACTAAATAATTCAATTGTACATGATATTCTAAGGTTTTTGTAAAAACACCAAATAATTCTGCATATATCACATAGTCAATGTTAAGAGATAAAAGGGATAAATAACGAAATAATTCTGCATATATGGCAGAGTCAATGTTAAGATATAAAACGGATAAAGGTACCTCATGTCATCAATGGATTATCTTGAACATTCTTGTCTAGTACAGAGAGAAAAAAAAGATCATAGTCACTTTGCTTCTTCTTTTTTTAGAATAGATTATAGTCACTTTGCAACTGGCCAGTTTTCCCCATACTAATGCTGCCTTTAATAGGCCGAGTGGATATGCAAACTTTTTAACCATTTACAGCCCAATAAGGCTCACCGGGGAACATGCTACTTTTGGACCAACTTCCTAGGAACTAGGGTGCAGGTCTTGCATAGGCCCGCAAAAGTGAGACAATTTGTAAGGCAATATAAGTTGAATTAACCCACTACAACTTAATTATAACTAAACTCTCTAAGAGTATCTTCTACAGATGATATAAAAATGCTGCCGCGGCCAAAAGGCACTTTGGTCCCCCAAAAGGTACTCCATCAGATGATGTATCTGCATGTAGTGATGTAAAAAAGAATCGTCACCCGAAAACCGCTTCCTGCTGCATATTTGCAGCACCGCCGCGGTGATGTAATTTTTTTTCATCACACAGGAACAAGTAGACCATATTGGCAATGGCCGTTTACATCCCTTGTGTCAAAAACGCTACTCCAACAAGTGACGTATATGCAAAAACGCAGCCGTGAAGAAAAAAAAAAGGCCATTTAGGACACCACCTCCACATCACCAGTTGAAGCAAAAGCCTTCGCGGTGATGTAAAACCCTTCTCTCTTCTACCCTTAAAACTATTTTTGGGCATCAACTTGTACATCATCGTTGGAGATGCTCTAAGTCTGAACACAGGGTGGGGCAGATCGGGCGCCGAGCTGCACCCTACCACTACCAAGAACATAGAACTTCTTCCTTCATTGGACCTCTTCTGGAAACATTTTATCTTCAGGATCTAGTGAGTAGAGAGACTCCACTGTTTTCTGAGGGCGATGACCTCAAAGTTTCAGATATTGCAACTTTCACAGTAACAGTCAATTCACAGCGCATATGAGAAGAAAAAACCGCATTTTATCTTCAGGATCTAGTGAGTAGAGAGACTCCACTGTTTTCTGAGGACGACGATCTCAAAGTTTCAGACATTGCAACTTTCACAGTTAACAGTCAATTCACAGCGCATATGAGAAGAAAAAACCGCACTCCGAATGGCCCTGAATTTGCTAATGAAGCTTCAGGGGGCAATGCATTTCGGAGAGTTTAGACCCTGCACTCTACCCTGAACCTTCAGTTGCATTCTTGCCCAAACAGAGTTGTAGAGATTAGTGCATGCAACAGAAGGAGCAGAATCGCCAGCTGAACAAGTGCTATTTTACACATTGGATTGGGTAACATTTACACGTATATATGATTACAGGAGGAGAAAGTTTTTTTTAGCACTAGACATAACAGATGACACTTCGTGGCTGAAGCAGTCCATGGATCATCCATTCATCGCTAACCACCGATTCATCGCATATGGTGCCTGAAATAGCAGATTCAAGATCCTGCGCAGATAAACCGAACTGACAACACACCATCCAACAAAACTCAAGGAAGATGGGCTCACCGCAGTGTTTCTTTTGTCCCTCGGCGGACTTTGCAGCGGATGGTTGGGAGTCCTAGGCGCTGGTGAGCCTCGTAGCGATGGCATCCAGAGAATCCTGAGGATTATGTGCAAGCATATTCAGCAAGAGGGAAATGGGATTATCTTTTGGGAGTGGGGAATGACCAATTGAGATGAGAACAAAACTACCGTAGTAGACTCCGTCAACCTCCAGCACGTCGATCTGAAATTTCAGTAAATAACCTGGTAAGTACCATTTCAAAATGACGCTGCAATTAAGAAACCAGAATGAAATCCAACTGTTGCCTTTTGTTTCTTTAAGGCAACAATAACCAAACACGTTAAATCAGGATAGCTCCAGACAAATGGCAAACGAAAAAGTTGACAAATGGATCACATGTTAAATGCACATAAAATGGTTATATTGCTCGGGTTAAAAGGAAGTGCTAAATGCACATAAAATGGCTATACTAAATGCACATAAAGGTAAGCTCTTTTGCATAGCTAGTCCAAAATCACACAATGATTTCGCATCGACCAAGAGTAGCAAGTAGCATCTTATTCAATAGCGCCCTACACTAAACTGCACATTGATCAAACATAATGCAGGTGAATATAGAAACAATAATATTTCTATAAGAAGGTTGATTCTGGGATATGGCACACTCCCTTTGAACTAAGACTGATTCAGAGGAGCACAACAGAGCTAATAGAGCCCCTATTGTTACTGCTGCAGGTGAACAGACTTCACATGTCAAATGAGCTTGGAAAAACTCATTCTAGACATAATACTGACGGATCACATGGACAAAAAATGCATCTGCACTTTGTGACGCTGTATGCAGAACATGCATCTAAACAACCCAACTTGAATATTAAAGCGTATACTCAATCAAGTGAGTCTCAATCAACCAACGTCCTACCATTCTACATCAATGGTCAGCTATCTCAAAAACATTGAACAATAACACAAACGTTCTCAGATACTGTTTGGAGATCACCGAATTCAGTAGCAGTGTTCAGCCACAAAATTCTAGTTCTGACAGAATTTATCTTATGAGCTAACAGAAAATACTTTTGGTAAATTAATGTTAAAGGAAAAGATGCCCACAGGTACTTGGAGGCCGATGACACGGATGCTGTCCATGAGCTCCTGCACCTTGTCAGGATCATTAGCACGCGTTTGCATTAGCGGCCTCCGGATATCTTCCAGCGGGATCTCCATCACCACAGGGCCTTTCTTCTCCGAGTCACTCAGTGGGGAGAGCCCAGCTGCACCTACACCGTTAAATACGAGCCATTGTTACTTCAGTGTATGTTGAAACGCAGAGTCTGAACTTAAACATCAGAAATAGACACCTGAAATTACAAGTTTGTAACTGAATATTGCACAAGGAAACTATCCTGTCATGTATATTCAACACTATGGTTGATCTCAATAACGCCCAATTGGACACCATTTACATGCGATTCCCGTCCAAATGGATCTCTAACTTTGCCAGCTAAGGATAATTAGCGAAGAAGTTGGAATTAAATCTCATCGGATTCAACTGAACCGCTATGGCTTCAGAATGGATCATGAAATCGGTAAGAGCGGTGATACTAAGATTCGGCTCCTCGCAGGCTCGAACCTCATCTCACTATGGTTGAACTGAACTCCAAGATCTCAAACAATTCCACAGAGAAATACAAGAAGGGGGAACAGGTAAAGGCAGACCTACCATTGGAGGACGAGACCGAGACGGCAAGGCCGCACCGCCCGCTCGCGCTCCTCCCCCGGAGAACAGGGGCGCTGAGGACGGCGGTGCAGCGGTGGAGGAGGAAGCCGGCCGGCGGCACGATCTTCCCCAACTCCAAGCTCGACGTCGACGCCATTCGTGGTCGCGCTGCAGCTGCTGCTGCTTCCGTTTTCTTGCGGCCTCTTTTTTTTTTCTTGCGGCTTCTCTGCTTAACGTGTCTGAGCGTCGCATCGATCTGCACCATACGAATTCAATGGGCCTTGCAGTTCCAAAACGTGCAAAGTGGGCCGCACACTGTTTCATCATTTTTTTTCCTAGATATTGTTTTTACAAATCACGAAACTATAAATCATGATCCCAGAAATTTCAGTTCTATCACCCTGTGGCTGCCGCCGGGAACGAAATGGGAGACCCATGGGGACGACGTTGCCATCTGTAACAAAAACACTATTTTTCGTTGTCACATAAAGGAAGTTCTGGGTCAATGTTCAATGGCAGTTCCGAGAGCGATTTCACCTAGAACTTGTCCTGAACATGGCCTTAGTTTAGCGAACGAAATTTCTAGCGACACTTTTGAATCAATGAATATCTAGTTATCTAAGTATGTTTCAAAGTGAAATGGCACGGTTGTCATAGAACAAAAAACGGCTCCGAACTGTTCAAACTAGGTTTGTTCTCTGAGTATGAATAACCCCATGTAGCTCATTAGTACCAGAGGATAATCTTTGGAAGTACCGGGACTTACAGAAACTCATATAAATGAATGGATTTTTTTCTTGAAACACCTGTATCTTTATTCATACTCATAACAATTGCAGGTATAGTGATTTTGACCTAAGATCCCAGAAAATACATAGTAACTCCTATGACTAAGAATTACAATAAAATCTCTTGAAATCACCTTCTTCGCAGTAGCAATATCTGCTCGAAGAAATACTCCAAAGACTTCAATAAAGATGTTGCAATTGGACTGGAGCAACAATGTTGTCACTCTTTCACCCGCACGAACATTACCAATAATGATTTTTGAAAATGCCTTGAGTGGCCCATCTAGAAAGATGGGAAACCTTGATCGATGAACGTACTTGGCCCGGGGATGATCCCCTATAAGTGCAAGTCATCGAATCACTATATCTTCACCATGGTGTCGATGAAAGATTTCGCCTCCACAAAGAATCAGACCAACAAAAAAAGTTTGGCACAACAACATAAACATATCAGATCTGATTATTCGGATCTGCGAGGAGATAAAACTCTCTAACCTCATGGCACCGCCAAAAGAACGAGAGAAAAAAATATTCTGACAAAACTATGATGATCACTAGACGTTGAGGAAGAACATATAAGTCTTGAAGATCCGAGGCCCCCCACCTCTTAGCGCCAAGATGGCAGCCGGAGACGAGGGGCCTAAATTTCTCAGAAGGCGGCAGCAACACGAGAATGGGAGACCCTTTAAAAAGAAATGGCTAGGGAGTCCATGGAGTTCATGGAGTTCAGACCGTTGTACTTTCCTTGTGCCACTCTTCATAATATGGTTGTATACTGGATGTGAATGCTGAATTCACTAAAAGCCTAGAATATATATCCTATGAATAAGATGTAAACAACAACTTGAAAGTTGTGGTTCGTGTTCTTCTTGCTCTCAATACCTAAGGTAGGGACGCACACATGGGAGAATATATACTAAATGGACGAGATGGCCAATAGAAGCAATTGGTATATAGAGTTATGGGCATTTGTGTGAACGGATCTTTTCATAAAGAAACATTGGATAATGTTTTTATTTCATTCTTTTTATCATGTGAGTTGAGCCAATCCCCCTGAAATTCTCCAGAAAAGGTAATTCAGTTTGTGCAATGTGGTGTATAAGGTTATTTAAAAAATGATTGTGGATCGTTTGAAGATAATCCTTCCAAATATTATCAGGACGACTCAGAGTGCATTTGTATCCAGAAGAATGATTACAGATAAGATTTTAGTGGCATACGAGTGTTTCCATACAATAAGGAAAAAAAGAATGGTAAGGAGGGTATGTGTGCCATCAAACTGGACATGCACAAAACGTATGACCATGTAGAGTGGTCTTTTATGAAGGAAATTATGCTGAAATTGGGATTCCAAGAGAAGTGGGTAAATTTAATTATGCAATGTGTATCCTCTGTGGAGTACCGGGTTCGCTTAGTACTAAAGAGACTGAGAGTTTTAAATCTACTAGAGGTTTGAGGCAGGGAGATCCTCTCTCTCCATATTTATTGTTGTTACATACGAAGGGGCTGCCTGCTCTACTAGCTAATGCGGAGGAGAATGGTAATGTTTCTGGAGTTAAAGTTTGTAGAGATGCCCCATCGATCTCAAACCTTCTCTTCGTCAATGATTCTTTGATCCTTATGAAAGCAAATGCTATGAATGCAAAGGCGTTGAAATCAGTTTTGGATTCTTATTGTGCTACCTCGGGGAAAATGATGAGCATTGAAAAGTCTAGTATTTTCTTTAGTCCCAACACAAAAGAGGAAGACAAGGCGCAAATTTGCACAATTCTGAATCATATGAATGAAGCTCTCAGTGACAAATATTTGGGTTTGCCTGCAAATGTGGGTATGGACAAAAGCGATTCTTTCCATTCCCTATTTGGTCGTATTATTACAAAAATTAGTGGATGGAAATAAAAATTTCTATCCGCTGGAGGAAAGGAATTTTTCCTCAAATCTGTTGCACAACCTATCCCAACTTATGATATGTTCGTCTATAAATTTCCTTTTTTGCAAAGGAAGACGTGATGTCACAATTTTGATGGGGTGACGAGAAAAATCAGAAGAGGATGCATTGGATGGCATGGTGAAAGATGTGTATCCCAAAAGACCAAGGAGTCATGGGCTTCCAAGATATACATTGTTTCAATCTGGCTTTGCTAGCCAAGCAAGCGTGGCATTTGTTTGATAATCCAAAACCGTTATGTGCTACAATCTTGAGAGAAAAATACTTCCCAGATGGCGATTTAATTAATGCAAATATACATTGTTCCTCTTTTACCTCGCAAAGCATTATGGCAGGAGTTAACTTTCTAAGGAATGATTATATCTGGCGAGCTGGAAAGGGATAAAATATTGATATTTGGGAAGATGCTTGGATCCCGAATTGTGCAAATAGAAAAATTATTACTACTACGAGGAGGCTTGTCAAAGGTTTATGCTATTATTAATCCAATCATGAATTATTGGGATGAAGACTTGGTGAGACAAACGTTGTGGCCAAATGATGCTCAAAGGGTGTGTGATTCCCCTTTGATGCATGATATGTCAGACTTCATTGCTTGGAGTTACACAAAAAAAATGGTTTGTTCACTATTCAGTTGGCTTATTTGGAGGAATGGAACCAACAATATGGGAGGAAATCGCAATATAAAATGGTATGGGTAGAACCAATGTTAATCCTATTTGGGGTAAGATCTGGAAACTATCTTGTCCGACAAAGGTAAAACTTTTCATCTGGTGTACATTGCATGGAACTCTCTCGTGCCGTGTTACGCTCGCTAATAGACACATGAAAGTTTCGCCCATCTGCCTATCATGGTCAAATGGGTCAGAAGACACAAAACTCATCATGTTTCTATGTCAGAAGCGAAAGAGGTTTGGGAAAAGTTAGGATTGTATGAGGTGATCAATAGAGTTTGTGTTGTCGATCGGGCGGGAGAGACAGTTATTGAATTTTTACTACTTATGCTAGGCCAAGAATTATTTATATTGGGACTCAAGAATGCACGTGAATTGATCGCTACAAAAACTTGGTATCTACGGTGGGATAGACATAAACTGGTTCATGAAGGAAAGTCTCAAGATGCACATCAAACTTCGAAGAGGGCTCGTGCTATTATGGGAAAGTATGTTAATGCACACTCCCCCAAGGCAACCAGTAAAACAGGGGGATGGAGTAGACCTCCTATGGGTTTTGTGAAACTGAATGTTGATGCTTCTTTTGATCACGATCTGCTTATGGGCACAATGGGAGCTGTCCTCATAGATGACAAAGGAAGGTTCATTGTTGCCGGAAATTGGAGGATTGATTGGTGTGCCGATGTATTAACAGCAGAAGCACTGGCTCTAAGGTTTGGCTTAATCCTTGCATAGAAGGCGGGTTGCAATCGCCTTATTGTCAACTCTGATAATATGGAAGTGATTGACACAATGAAAAATGGAGGAAAATCGGCGGGAGTGGGCGGCGGCAGTGTTCGACGATTGCTATTTTATGACATGTGATTTTCATGTTACTAGGTTTGAGCATTGTAATAGGGAAGCAAATAAAATTTCTCATGAACTTACTAGGCTAGCGACATTTTCCGAGACTAGGGATTGGTGTGAGGAGCCAATGGATGACATTGTTTCTTTTCTTATTGCCGACGTAACTCTTATATCTAATTAATAAAATGTGATGTTTGTTTAAAAAACCCCGAAGTTCAACTATTCTATTCTAACTTGAATTGATGGCTCAAATAATTTTTATTTGTCCGATTAACATGAAATTTTATGGGGAGTATTTAATTAGTATTTAATAGAAGGAGACATGTAAGGACATATTGAAAGTATATGTACGTAGTTGAGTAGAATGAGTTGGAGGCGCAGATGAAGATGCGGAAGCTGTCGCTAGTCTAGATAATGAGTTGGAGGTTCTAGGAAGAAGTTCGGTCCTCAATCACCAATGCCAAAAAACGGGTGCTTTGGACCAAGGAAGAAATAAATATTCAATCATTCTTTACGTCCTTGTCGTTTTTCCCAGCTAGATATTCTTTTGTCCTTGCACTATTTTTGGATATGCATGGTGCTTCTGTCATGCATAGTGATTAATCAAGTGTTCAGATATGATTTAATAAAGAAATATTTATAGATTTAATTTTTTTCTCTTACTTATAACTATATACTTATTGTTGTCTAACTTATCTACTTACGTAAGTTACTTCTTTTAAATTGTGCCTCATAGAAAGACTGAGTGATGGAAGCTACTCGATCGTGATTACAACTATTTACTAAAAGGACGTGGAAATCACCAAGAGGGGGGGGGGGATAAGCATTTTAAAACAACTACACTTTATTATTGAACAGATACGGAATAAAAGTGGCATTTAATTTATCAAGCACAAAACCT